AAACCTTACCACTATTTTCATATAAAAAATTACCACAATACTATTATGAATTTTTTCGGAATCATTTTGTGAACTAACAAAATATTAAAAGATCCTGTGTTTAAATAGTATTGGCGAGTTTAATTTTGACAATACTTTCGACATAATTCTACTCGTTATTTCGGTATTCGTACTGAACTCCTCTTCCTTAACGCTTATAGAAATAGATTGTTTCCAGTTTAAATTCTTATAAAGGAACTATATGGGTATAAATGTTATTCAGATCACACTCGGTAGTTCGGTATTCAAACCAAATACTACATATGAGTTTTAAACTTCCATAAGAAATAGTTATTCTCCTTTTAAAATTCATATAAAGGAGCCTTATGATTTTTAATTAATTTTTAGAAAGATTTCGAACAGTAGTAAATTGTAACAATATAATTTTTATTTTTTTTTTAATTAATTGAATTTTTGTCTGACCATCTAAGTGGTTTTAGAAATATGTCTTGTATTTAATTGAGCGTGAATAATTTTTTTGCGACTGCAGGTACTAATTGTTGAACTCGTACCCTGCCAAATTTGAAGCTCAGAGTCGGTGTTCATTAGTCAACTGAACTAAAGCCCCATACTTAACTTGTATGTTTGCACTTTTTCCTAGAGTTTTGTAAATTTGCTGTGAAAGTTTATTAACAAATCCACTTGCTGTGTTTGGTATATTAGAACGAAGTCATAAACCAACTGTAGAGTTATCGAAATATTTAATTGTACTTATTTTTAAATGTTAAATTTTAGTTCTATTCTTTTGTAGATTAATTAAATTAATTAAAAATAAATAAAAAGTTTGTTTTTACAATTTAGTAGTGTTCAAAATGTCTCTATTAAATACAATAGTTTCTATTAAGTAAAATAGTCATTACGACATTATACCATTATTATTAAATACTAGACTATGAATGCACCCCGACCAAAAACATCTATTGTGCGATTAAAAGTCCAACTAAAACAATTCTAGACTATTTATAAATCTCGTTATTGCTGTGGGCTTAATTAATCCCACATAGTTACATAATTCTTCGATGCTAGAGTATTGAAAAGTTGAATGCTTTCCCCGAACAGCTTTGATTGAAATGAAGAGTTTGCTAAAGATTCTTTTAGAGCTGCTTGGCTAACTGAAGTTAAAATCAAATCTAATTAATTTCTTAATAAAAAATAGTGGTGAGGTCTAGAACTCGGTAACTGAATATTCAGCCTTCTGAATATTAGCTCAGAAGTTTTGGAAAGGACGAGTAGTATTAAATGACTGTTCATATTCATCACAATTGGTAAAAGTATTTAAAAAAATAAGTCTAAAGATACAAAATTTTCTGAAATTGTTAATGGTCCTTAATCTTTACATTATTTAGCTCTACATTTATATAGATTTCATAGTTTTAGTTCAAAATTAATGCATGTTTAAATAATAATTTTAATATAAAGTCAAAAAATTATAATTAAAATGAAACACAGGATATATTAGGATATATAAGTAACCATATATTTTAAAAATCCTGTTATGTGAACTTTATATATAATTAGTAAAGCTTTAAATTCGATCTATGTATATCAATATTAAGAAAAAAAAAAAAAATAAGAAAATTAATAATTTTATGTAAATTGTAATTGTATTAAGAAAATAAAAGTCATCTATATACATAATTGTATTTGTTTCTGTAAATGCATTTTTTTTAGTTATTATATGAGAAAATATCAATATAGATTATAAATTTATAAGAACTATAAATTATAAGAAATGAGAAAATATCAATATAGTTTATAAAATTATAAAATAGAGCCTTGAGTTTGATACATTCTCCAGACAAATATAAAAAAATTCCTGCTAAACGACCGCTGTCCCAAACGGATCTCTTTTGATCTAGTCGTGCTAGTCTCAAGTTTAAATTATTGCATAAAATTAAAATATGTCATCATATTCTTATGACTAAAACAATGAACTTGAACTGTATTAATGGTCTGGGTCTATAGGCCCTACGCTCGACAAGGAGATGAAGACTACAATAAGTAAGTAAGTAAAGGTCTGAGCCTGACTTAAAAGTTATATTTTTCATATCAATTTTATTAGTGTTAGTAATTTGTGGCGATTTTCGAAACACCTGTATGTTCAGCCCAAGAATTTAGCTTGATAAAAAAATTTGTTTTGGATTTGAAAATTTTCTCACTATTCATACCATCTCTTTCTAATCGATATACATTTTTTACCATATGACATAAAAGTATTAATACCAAAAAATTATTGAAATGAAAGAGGTGTTCAAATCTAACGTGGTTTCAAAATAAAATAAATGGTGTCATTCACCCACTGTGATCGAGATTTAAGTATAGTGACCCATAATCCCTGCGCCATTCTGTAATTGATTTTGGAATTTGATTTTGCTGAGTTTCTGCAAATTACTCTCGTTCACAAACAAGCAATACCAGTCTATCAATACATACCTATCGGAAATAAATTTTTTAATTTTCTGTTAAAGCAATATTCCATACAGATGCTATCAATTGTATTTTAAAAATCTATATAACAACTTGTTTTCTGTTTGGAATTGAAGATAGATTCACTTTTCTGATCTATTTTTTTCGTTTTCTAGGTTGGGAAATTGTTCTCCTTGTGAAGTTGTTTGTAATGCAGATTTAATCTGAGTATTCGGACACTATACAAGCCATATACTCATTTGGTAAAACCTAACATTTTGTGGGTTCGTCTATAGACCTTATCAAAATACTAACAATCGTTATTATCATTTTACTTATTTTTTATTGACAACGAAAAAACGTTATATTCCATATGTGTTCAAGCAAATTACCTAGAAGAATTGATCAACAAGTATTAAAGATTGAAGACATTGCTTCAGTATAAAGATTTCAGTATAAAGACATCAATCCGAAATAAGAGGTAAGAACGTACTAAATATTGAAATTAATTTGTTGCAGAACTTTTGATTGCCACGGACATTGAAAAGCATTACTAACTTACCACTTATGGTATAACACTCGCTTAATCTTTTGTTTTTAGGCAGGCGTCTCCGCTGTACTATATTAATAATGATATACACCGTGATATACAATAACGTATGCCATAGGTTTGCCACCGTTGCCATAGACCATTCTCTATATTCAATTAAATTACGTTCAATAAATTTATTCAAATATTTGAATACAAATATAAATATAAAT